CAGCACACGGGGGCAACACTTTCCTTGAGCTCTCCACGACCAACTCAAGATCTTTGCCCCTCTCCGCCTCTGCAAGTTCAGACTCCCCCCAACCCCCTCTGTAGCCCAGACTGGAAGTTATTTATTAATTATTTATTTTTCAGATTTTTACCTCGCCCTCCCGGTTGAAGCTGGCTCAGGGAAGCTCACATAAAAACGGATAATGACATTAAAACATAGCTGTCGTTAAAACAAATATAAAACCATAACAAAAGTGCTAGTGGTTCTTAGTAGTCATATAGCGGCATCAGCCAGTGCAGAACGTTCTCCGCTCGCAGTCAGCTCTCGGTATTAGTTGGATGTCCCTGCAGGGTTCGCTGTTCATTACGGCTGCTGATGGCAGTTTTCAGGGTCCAGGGCCCTCTCCCTTTTGACCAACTGATGTTCTTCATTGGTGGAGGCGGCTCCCAAAAGCCTGGTGGAAGAGCTCTGTTTTACAGTCCCCGCGGAACTGCAAAAGGTCCTGCAGGTCCCTGATCTCCTCCGAGAGCTCATTCCACCAGACTGGGGCCACCACCAAAAAGGCCCTGGTTGTTGACAGCCTTGCGTCCTTAGGACCCGGGAGGGCCAGCCGATTCTGGACCCCCAACTGCAGTATTCTCTGGGGGACATACAAGGATAGGCGGTCCCTTAGGTATGTAGGTCCCTAACCATGTAGGGCTTTAAAGGTAAGAACCAGAACCTTGAAACGAATCCGGTATGCTATCGGCAGCCAGTACTCCTAGAGAGCCCCATCAACAGCCTGGCCACGCATTTTGCTCCAGCTTCTGGATTTGAGACAAATAGGGATTTTTGGTCCCACTATGCATCACTTTTGGAGCCGTGGTGGCTCAAGTGGTTAAGATGCTGAACTGCAGGCTGTGGAAGGTCAGTAGTTCAGCAGTTCGAGACCGGAGTGCCGCATGACGGAGTGAGCTCCCGTCTCTAGTTCCAGCTCCTGCCAACCTAGCAGTTCGAAAGCAAGAAATTGCAAGTAGATAAATAGGGACCGGTGGGAAGGTAACAGTGTTCCGTGCGCCTTGGTGTTTAGTCATGACGGCCACGTGATCACGGAAACGTCTTCGGATAGCGCTGGCTCTTCGGCTTTGAAACGGAGATGAGCACCGCAACCCTAGAGTCGGATTCGACTGGCTTTCAAGCAAGGGAACCTTTACCTTATGCATCACTTTAGACTTAACAAAACTGAGTTGCACCAACCTTCCTTCCCTTGCCCAAACCCTCCCCTCCCCGGGAACCGTCTCCTAAATCTCCAAGTTAATTTCCCAATCCAGACTTGGCAACCCTATCCCCACCACCGCATTCCCAAAGAGCAAAGGACATGACTTTGCATCGTTGGCAGACCAGAAAGGCGAAGAAGCAAAAGCCTGCTGGGTCCGGAGGGGAAGAAGGTGTGTGTGTGTGTGGGGTCTCTTCTCCCCCCCCCTCAAATCTCCTGCTCCTCCCCAGGTTGGACCAATCACCCCTCCTCCCCAGCCAAAAGGGCGAGAACGTCCCTTTCCTTTATCCCGCATCCTGAGAATCTTTCTTCCCCGGACCTTCCTTGGAGGTTTCTTTGCCTTTGCCCAAAGCAGCTTTTTCTGATACAGGGGAGAGGTCTCTCTCCCCCCAATAAAGTGCCTCCCCTCCTCCTTTCTCTTCACTTGGGGTCTTGCATTGCAGACTCCTGCCCCCACTTATCTCCCCTCCCCCCCAGGCATTCAAGCTCACCCAGTCCTTCCCAGACATTCAAGCAGCAGGCCAGGCAATTCACACCTGGCTTTTGCAAGGGCGGAAGCCGGAAATGGTTCCCCCCCCCATACACACCCCGATACCTCTCTAGGATAGTGGACTCTTTCATTTTAACTCTTGGAGAGAACATAAGAATATAGAATAAGCCAATGTTGGATCAGGCCAATGGCCCATTCAGTTCAACACTCTGTATCACACAGTGGCCAGAAATACCAGGTGCCATCAGGAGGTCCAGCAGTGGGGCCAGGACATTAGAAGCCCTCCCACTGTTGCCTCCCCCAAGCACCAAGAAGACAGAGCATCACTTGCCCCAAAGTCCCTATCTATATTGTGGCTAATAGCCACTGATGGACCTCTGCTATATATGCTTATCCAGTTCCCTCTTGAAGCTGTCCATGCCTGTAGCTGCCGCCACCTCCTGTGGCAGTGAATTCCAGGTGTTAATCACTCTTTGACTTCCTTTTATCCGACCACTCAGCAATTACATTGAGTGACCACGAGTTCTTGCATTGTGAGAAAGGGAGAAAAGTACCTCTTTCTCTACCTGGTCTATCCCACGCATAATCTTGTAAATGTCACCCCTCAGTCTTTCTTTCTCCAAGCTAAAGAGCCCCGAGCGTTTTAACCTTTCTTCATGGGGAAAGTGTTCCAACCCTTTTATCATTCTAGTTGCCCTATTCCCAATTCTAGAATATCCTTTTTGAGGTGTGGTGAGTGACCAGAACTGTACACAGTCCTCCAAATGAGGTCACACCATTGATTTATATAGGGGCATTATGATACTGGCTGATTTGTTTTCAATTCCCTTCCTAATAATCCCCTGCATAGCATTGGCCTTTTTTATTGCAGTCATACACTGTCTCGACATTCTCAGTGAGTTATCTACTACGACTCCAAGATCTCTCTCTTGGTCAGTCTCTGCCAGTTCGCCCCCCATCAATGTGTATTTATATTTAGGATATTTGGCTCCAATGTGCATCACTTTGCACTTGGGCGCATTGAACCCCATTGGCCACCTTGACGCCCACTCGCCCATCCTCGACAGACCCACTTTGAAGCGCCTCACAATCCTCCCTGCTGCAATTCTGCAAGTCAGGAAAGCAAAGCCGGTCCCTCCCCCTCCAGCCTAACTGTTGAGGTGCCTTTGCAACTCTTAGCTGGGGGCTTCTTTGCAGGTAAGGTGTATGTGCAGCGCCAAGCTGGCAAGGAAGAAGCCTTATCCAGTAAACAAAGCCACTGAAGCGTGGAGGCTTAGAGAAAGAGAATAAGGGGTGGTGGTGGTGGAAGTAGTTCCCTTTGGCTGACAGCGACGCGGGGGGGGGGGGGGTCGCGTTTTCGCGCAC